TAAAAAATACAATAAATCAAAAAGTTTACTGTTATTTAGTTTGGTTCAAAACCTACAAAATTTTCATTGCTTTCACTGTAATTTATTTTTTTTATTATTTAGGGAGCATTATAAATAGTTAAGTTTTTAAAGAAAAAAAACTACTATTGTTATGAATAACACATTCAATTGAACTAAACTATGCATACCTATTTAAATATATTTACACATGGCTTGTGTATATCATATATATACATATATATTATTCATACCTTTGGTGTATAGGATGTAAGCAGATTTTGACATCAAATTTTGGGGTAAAATAAAGCGTTTTATACATCAAAAAATACGGTATTTACATACAGTGGTATATAATTCTTTAAAACAAAATTTTAGCAAACCCAAGATATATATTATCTTGTAAAGCTAAACATGAAATCTTAGTTATTGCATGTTATAATTATTTGGAGATTTCAACATCCTTTCCAGGATGTTATACAAAATTAAAAAAACAAAAAAGAAGAAGAAGAAGAACTAGAAAGCATTATAATTATTACTTCTCAGGGCATATAATTGTATGGTATATTATAAAAATGAAAACTAATGAAATAACGATATTAATATGAATTTGACATATAAAACATCAGAAAACTGTGAAAAAATATGACAATTATAAAAAGTGAAAACTATAAATAATTTAAATGTCCTTAATAGATCAGTAGATCAGGTTTCAAAATCCTTATTGTGAGAAAAGAATAAAGTGTCAAGAACTTTTTTATTGCCAACAACTGTTATATTAAACTTTTTATATATACAACCAATCAATACATAAAAGTACAATAGTCTCAAGGTTTTACGTTGAATATTAAATATTTTCAGAACATACATACTAAAAGTGATGTCTCCTAGAAACACACCTTCTGGTGTGGAACTACAGTGTCACCCTCACCTAGCAACACATTCTCTGGTACCACTTCCTGAAACTGTGACGTCATCGCCCTGTGGCTGCCAATCAGCGCACGCGTCTCAAGTGCTGCCCTAACTACTTACCCTAGCTTTTATTAAATTCGCTTTTTTTTACAGAAACTAGATAACAACAACAACAAAAAAAGAGATAATCTTCAAGGAGAAAGTAGGATTGTGCCAATCAGATATCAATCGCTGTCATAGCCTATACACTCACCTACGTCTAATTGATAATTAATTGCTATCTCTCACTATATAGTAGACACTAATTCATAATTAGTTTATATTCTACATTTCTGCTGCTAATCTGACTTGCTTGTCAGGATAGAAACTAAATGGTAATTAATAATAATAATAATATATATATATAACTAATTAATAATTAGACTTAAGTTATCGTATACCCTACTAACCATGAAAAGGAAAATAGATTTAAACCTTAACTTTACAATGTCTTTAAATTGCACGTAACAGTACGTAATACTGCTATAAGCCTTTTTCAATGTATTAATTTAGATGTTAGTTAGAAGGTACGTGACGTTAAAGTAGGCCTATAATACCTGAACTGTTCTAGATGACATCGCAAAAAATCTAGTAATTTCAACGAATATCTAGAAGTGGAACATTAATTATAAATACGAGTCAGTAGCGGGAAATAGTAGTAAATGTCAAAGTAAATTATCCAGCGTGTGAATTTTGAATAGTTGTCAATCGAGCGTTAGTCAGTTAATTTTCATTTTATAGAGTGCCAATAATTCAGTGTTAGTTATCGCGTATATTCAGTTAATCGATCGATTAGCCGTGAAACTGCAAAAGTAAGTTTATTTGTATATTAGTAGTAGTAGTACCATTAACGAGCTCGAAAGTATTTCTGTTGAAACTTTATTTGTAAATTTAGGCCTACAAATTATAATTTTCTACAAATGAAGTTAGAAACGTTAAGAAAGTGATAGTCTAATTTGTTGTCGTTATGTGGACTACTTTACGTTATTTTTACCAAATAATTCAAAAGAACCTGCCTAACGAAAGAACGACGTTACAATATATTGCACAATTACACAAGCACAGTTTCAACTGATGATTATTTGCTAAGACCATGGCAAATAAATATTAAAGAGAAGTAAACAAACTAAGTTAGAATTTTGATAAATTAATAGAGAATATTAATTTGTCTATTGTGACTTATAATATTGTAATTTAATCTCCATTTTTAAAACTCGTGAGTGATAGTGCGACATCTGTTGATATTAT